CAGGCCCATCACAAGCACAGAAATCAAAACTGTAATCAGAAATCTTCCACCAAACAAAAGCCCAGGACCAGACAGCTTCACAGCTGAATTCTAACAAAAATTTAAAGAAGAGCTAACACCTATGCTACTCAAACTCTTCCAGAAAATTGCAGAGGAAGGTAAACTTCCAAACTCATTCTATGAGGCCACCATCACCCTAATACCAAAACCAGACAAAGATGCCACAAAAAAAGAAAACTATAGGCCAATATCACTGATGAACATAGATGCAAAAATCCCTAACAAAATTCTAGCAACAGAATCCAACAACATATTAAAAAGATCATACATCATGATCAAGTTGGCTTTATCCCAGAGATGCAAGGATTCTTTAATATCTGCAAATCAATCAATGTAATAACCATATTAACAAATTGAAAGATAAAAACCATATGATTATCTCAATAGAAGCAGAGAAAGCCTTTGACAGAATTCAACATCCATTTATGATAAAAACCCTCCAGAAAGCAGGAATAGAAGGAACATACCTCAACATAATAAAAGCCATATATGATAAACCCACAGCAAACATTATCCTCAATGGTGAAAAATTGAAAGCATTTCCCCTAAAGTCAGGAACAAGACAAGGGTGCCCACTCTCACCACTACTATTCAACATAGTTTTGGAAGTTTTAGCCACAACTCCAGGAGTTGGTGATGGACAGGCAGGCATGGCGTGCTGCAGTTCATGGGGTCTCAAAGAGTCACATGACTGAGTGACTGAACTGAACTGAAGAGGAAAACATAGGCAAAACATTCTCTGACATAAATCACAGCAGGGTCCACTATGACCAACCTCCCAGAATATTGGAAATAAAAGCAAAAATAAACAAATGGGACCTAATTAAACTTAAAAGCTTTTGCACAATGAAGGAAACTATAAGCAAGGTGAAAAGACAGCCTTCAGAATGGGAGAAAATAATAGCAAACGAAGCAACTGACAAAGAATTAATCTTAAAAATATACAAGCAGCTCCTGCAGCTCAATTCCAGAAAAATAAACGACCCAATCAAAAAATGGGCCAAAGAACTAAATAGACATTTCTTCAAAGAAGACATACAGATGGCTAACAAATACATGAAAAGATGCTCAATATCACTCATTATCAGAGAAATGCAAATCAAAACCACAGTGAGGTACCATCTCACACCAGTCAGAATGGCTGCTATCAAAAAGTCTACAAACAATAAAGGCTGGAGAGGTTGCGGAGAAAAAGGAACCCTCTTACACTGTTGGTGGGAATGCAAACTTATACAGCCGCTATGGATAACAGTGTGGAGATTCCTTAAAAAACTGGAAATAGAACTGCCATACGACCCAGCAATCCCACTGCTGGGCATACACACCAAGGAAACCAGAATTGAGAGAGACACATGTACCCCAATGTTCATCACAGCACAGTTTACAACAGCTAGGACATGGAAGCAACCTAGATGTCCATCGGCAGACAAACAGATAAGAAAGCTGTGGTATGTATACACAATGGAATATTACTCAGCCAATAAAAAGAATATATTTGAATCCATTCTAATGAGGTAGATGAAACTGGAGCCTATCATAGAGTGAAGTAAGTCAAAAAGAAAATCACCAATACAGTATACTATTGCATATATATGGAATTTAGAAAGATGGTAACAATGACCCTATAGGCGAGACAGCAAAACAGACACAGATGTAAAGAACAGTCTTTTGGACTCTGTGGGAGAAGGTGGGATGATTTGACAGGGAAGCATTGAAACGTGTATATTATCATATGTGAAGCGGATCACCGGTCCAGGTTCAATGCATGAGACAGGGTGCTCAGGGCTGGTGCAATGGGATGACTCTGGGGGATGGGATGGGGAGGGAGGTGGGAGGGGGGGTTCTGGATGGGGAACACATGTGCACCCGTGGCTGATTCATGTCGATGTTTGGCAAAACCCACTACAATGTTGTAAAGTAATTCGCCTCCAATTAAATTAATTAATTTTTTTAAAAAGTACTAGCTGAGATCTGGGAACTGGGGTGCAGTTTTGGAGAAAGCTATACTAATTGTGATGCACTGGGCTGGGGCAAGATTGAGTGAAAAGAGAAGGACTTCATGCAGCCATAGGTTAGCAGGAAGGCACCTGGGAGATAAGAGCCTGAAAAGAGGTGTAAAGGGTACCAAGAACAAGCAGAGTTTATTCTGCAACTTTACCTGTGCCTCCCACCTTATCAACAGACTTTGGTATGTTTATTATAGGTACTTATACTGCATAGTATGCATAAGAACTCCAGCTCCAGAGTAGATCATACACACATCTAGGAAGAAGGCCTTCAACACATACTGAATTGCATCAGTAATTTGTGTAACACCTCACAGTTCACGAAGATTGAGGGAGGTATAACCTCCATTTTGCAGATGAGGAAACCTTACTCAGTGTCACACTGCTAATATATGGCAGTGCTTAAACCTAAGTCTCCTGTATATCTCTATGTAACTGTGCTCCTCCTATAATCAACAAGGGGCAAGAAGCCAGTGATACAGGAATTAGGAATTCTGAAATAACAGTAATTTTTAAAAACAGCATATATACTATATAGTATAATATTATAGTTAACAGGGTGTACTCTGGAACCAAATTGCCTGGGTTCAAAAACTGGCTCTACCATTTAGTAACTGTGTAAACTTGGGCAGGCTTTGTCTTTTTATGCTCAATATCCTCATCTGTCAATTTTGACTACCAATAGCACCCATCTCATAGGACTGTTTAAAGATACTAATAGTATCTACCTCATAAGAACATGTAAGGAACCTGAACATCACTGTGCAGACTGAAAGTGCAATATTAAGTGTTTATTATTATTATTATTGCCTGTCTTCTATTTACCATTTTATACACATTACCTCACTTAAGCCTTCCAATAACCTGTGAGGTAGTTATTATCCGTTCCATTTTATCTCTGAGGAAATTCTTGCCCAGAAAAGTAATCTATCCAATCCTGAAACAAGCAAGTGACAGAATTAAACTCAAGCATAATTCTAACCACACTCTGAAATGTTGCCTCTCAACATATTTAAGCTTCTTACTCAACTACATTGGAGAAGGAAATGGCAACCCTCTCCAGTGTTCTTGCCTGGATATTTCCAGGGATGGGGGAGCCTGGTGGGCTGCTGTCTATGGGGTCACACAGGGTCGGATATGACTGAAGCAACTTAGCAGCAGCAACTCAACTACATGGACAGGAAGGTCAAAAGTACCCGTCTGTTAAGACCTAGACTCATTAGAAAAGAGCCTGATGCTGGGAAAGATTGCAGGCAGGAGGAGAAGGGGACGACAGAGGATGGGATGGTTGGATGGCATCACTGACTCAATGGACATGAGTTTCAGCAAGCTCTGGGAGTTGGTGATGGGCAGGGAGGCCTGGTGTGCTGCAGTCCATGAAGTCAAAAAGAGTTGGACATGACTAAGCAGCTGAACTGAACTCCAGGCTCCATTAATACACCAGCATAAAATACACTAAAGATTTTTAAGAGTCAGTTATGTACACACGGGCTTTCCTGGTGGCTCAGATGGTAAAGAATCTGCCTACAATGCAGGAGACCCAAGTTCGATCCTTGGGTGGGGAAGATCCCCTGAAGGAGGAAATGGCAACCCACTCCAGTATTCTTGCCTGGAAAATCCTATGGACAGAAGAGTCTGGTGGGCTACAATCCGCGGGATCACAAAGAGTCAGACACGACTAACACTTTATAATCACTTTATACACACACACACACACACACACACACACAAGCACTAAACTAATTATGGTTCTCAATACAGGAAATGCCCAGATGCCCCTTAAGTTAGGGTTGTGTCACGTGCTTGGTCGCTCAAGTCCTGTCTGACTCTTTGCAACTCCATGGACTGTAGCCCGCCAGGCTCCTCTGCCTATGGGATTCTCCAGGCAAGAATACTGGAGTGGGTTGCCATTCCCTTCTCCAGGGGATCTTCCTGACCCAGGGATCAAACCCAGGTCTCCCAAGTTGCAGGCAGATTCTTTACCATCTGAGCCACCAGGGAAACCATTATCTTAGCACCTGAACAAATGCCAGTAACCTGCAAAGTGACTCAGAGAGTTTTAAGAAGTGGCTGTTCCACCTGTTAGCTGGGATCCCATCATCTCCCTCCTGGTGGCTGACACTTCACCCCTAGGCTTTGCCTTGGCTGAAGCAAAGCATAGAAGGAACTGATTCTCAAGCTTTCCCACTGCCCCAGGTGGATGATCCAGGAAACTAATCGGGGGCGGGGGAGCGGGGGAGGCGGGCCAAAGCTGTTTTTTCACTGGCAGAGAGATTAAAGGCAGCTGGGGCTCGGCCTCCTATTCCGGAACCTTCATCTACCTGTCGAGCCAATTGCTTAGGTCTCCCTTATGCCACATCGTTTCCTAAGTACCATTAACAGGACCTTCGGTTTCTGTGAGTCAACGCGGGCAAATCTCTGGGTTCAACGTTTGAATTAGCATTGAGGTTGGATTACCTCACAAAAAAGCAAAGTAACCCTGACTAAAAGAAAATAGGAAGTGCCATGTCAAGCTCTCTGGGCCACCTAAAGAGCCTAGGAGGACCACCGTGTTTCTGACACCTGGGCGCCAGGGAATACCGCTTAACCGCTGGCAGCTCAGAGCGACTGTCCCTCCCTCCTCGGCCCCCCCGCCCAAGCTGCCAGATATCCCGGCAGGTCAGCCGAAGGGCAACCGCCGTTCGCGCGGCCCCAGTGATCCCTCAAGTTGAAGGGAACGAAGTCCCAGCAATCCCACCCCTCCAAAGCTCCACGACTCTGACGACTCCCGCTCCCACGCCACGAACTTAGTTCCCGCCCGAGGTAGGTAGGTCTGTAGTCCGAACGGCGAGGGTCAGGACCGTAGCAGGAGACCGGGAGAGAGAGGGGAGCGGCAGATCAGGGGTTCGAGCGACCCCAAGAAGGGACGAAGGACTGTGGGGGGCCGGGTCGTACCTGTCGAGCCGAGACCCGCCGCTCCGAGTGACGCGCCTCGCAGTGCACTGTGGGGCCGGGGAGTGGCCTCTCCGCGGGGCAGCCCCGCGTGCAACGTGGCTGGCACCCAGCGGGATCAAGCCCCGCCCCCGTTCCATCTTGCTCAGGCCAATCAGGTTCCGGGGGAAGAACACACTTACCCGCCCGCTCCAGGGGAGATTGACAGCTTTTCATGCTTCTTCGCCAAGAGAGTGGCAAGTCCTGTATTGACTGATTATACTGTCCCTCGCACATAAGGCTGATCTCCCGTCTGCCGCCTGTACCTGCAGGTTGTTTGTTTCTTATGCGGCCCTGCAGGAAGCACTTATCGAAGGAGCATGAAAGCCCCCCTCTGAGTGAACAAGAAAAGGATCTGTCCCATTATTACCACGCCGGGGAAGGCATCCAACCTTGACAAAGAAATGCCAGATGCTGTTCCTGCAGTCCATCCCAGCTTTTGCATCGGTCATGCATTATTAAACAAGTACTTACTGACTACATACTATGTGCCAAGCACAGTGTTAGGCATTGGGTTATAGGAGTGAATGTAACATTCAGTGGATCTAATGTGTGATAGGAGCAAGAGATGTTAAAGCGTAACATTACGTAATTATAAATTGTGATCAGTTCTATGAAGGAAGATTAGGGAGTGCAACGACAGATTAATCAGGACTATGGGGGCAGAGCTCTTTGAAGAAGTGCCTTTGAAGCTCCAGGCACATGAAAGAGCCTTTAAGAATGTTGCAGGCATAGGGAATATTATGTTTGAGATTGTTGGGGCATGAAAGAATTTGATGTGTTCTAGGAACATGTCACTGAAAGGAAGTAAATGGGTTTGAGGTGTAGGAGCAAACGAGTTGAAATGAATCAGAGGCCAGACTATGCAGGCTCTTCCTGGCCACATTATAAGTTTTAGACTGTATTTTGGAATGTATCTTAAGGTCATTGGGCAGCTAATAGAGTGTTAAGTAGGGTCAGATTTACATATTTATTAATAAACTCTCACTTAGGCTGTTTGTGGGGAATAGTTTGAAAGAGGAGAGAAGGGCTTATTGGAAGTCCAGTTTGGAGGCAGTTACATTAGTCAAGGCCAGAGATGACGGTGGCTTGAACTAGGGTAATGACACTAGAGACACAAAGATTTGGATCATTTGAAATATTTATTTATAAATTAGCAGTGGAATCCAAAGGATGTAATAATGAATTGGTTTGCCTAGGATGATAAAGAAAAGAGGAGCATTAAGGATGACTCCATAATTTACTAGATGAATTAAGAACCCATTTACTGACTCAGGGAAACTAGAAGGAGTAAATGGTCTTGGACTTATTAAGTTGGACATGCTTGTATATGGAGATGTCAAATAAGTTTGGAGATGTAAGTCTGAAGTCCAGAAGCAATGTCTGGACTAATTATATAAATTTGCTGGTTGTTGGAGTGGGTTAACCAAGCAGTTCCACTCCTAGATATATATGCAACAGAATTGTATTCATATGTTTACCATAAACATATATAAAAATATACCAAATATATAAGAATTCTCATAGGATAAATAAACTTTAGAATATTCACATAGTAGAACAGTATACAGGAAAGAGAATGAACAATCAACAACTACATACAAAACATGGATGAATCTCACAACTGTAAAACTGCCTGATATAAGCCAGACACAGAAACTGTATACTACTTGATTCTACTTATATAATATTCAAATAGAGACAAAAATAATATTTGGTAATAGAAGCTAGACTGTTGGTTACCCTTAGGTGGCATTAAGGTTTGGAAAGGGCCCCTAGAGGGCTGCTGGGGTTATAGTAATGTTTGCTCTGGATGTTAATTACACTAGTGTGTTTGATTAGTGAAAATTCATGAGGTTGGGAATTCCATGGCAATCTAGTGGGAACTCTCCCTGCTTCTACTGCAGGGAGTACAGGTTCAATCCCTGATCAAGAAACTAAGATCCTCCATGCTACATGGAGAAAGCAAAAAAAAAAAAGAAAAAAGAAAATTCGTCAAATTGTACACTTAAGATATGCAATTTTTAGTACACATCTTATTATTCAATAGAAATTTTATATTTTTAAAGTGTTATGGTGATCCAGCCATAAATAAGTGACTGGTACCAAATTAAACTAACTTTCCTACCACAAACAATAGAAAACTGAACCAAATCTATGAGACAAGTGTCTTCAGACATTGGACAGTAAGCACAGTAGAACAGTGATCCTAGAAAGAAGGAAAGCAAATAAGATGAGCCCAAATATGTCCCCAGATTTTCTTTCTGGTGGTATTTTCCAAAGCACAGGATTGAAGAAAGCTAAGCAGAATACAGTACTCTCTCTAACTGAGGAGAGTGAAATTTGAATTATGAGAGATGGAAGCAACTGATATTTGCAGGGCAGAGAACCAGATTAAGAGTTTCAGAAATATACATGAGTCTCCTTGAATCTTTGGCATAGCTTTAATGAGACTCCAGGAGGCTGGTTAAATAATAACCACTGTGGGAACTACAAGCTGAACAACTACTAGATCTTAAATAAAATTTGGAAACATTGAAGTTCTGACCAACTGGAATGGGAAAACCTTATTAAACAAATAGGGCATTTGGTAAGAAAACCTCAGAAAGGCCACAGTTTAGAGATAAGGCTAAATTAGCCCAAGAGTAAAAGCTATTCTAGACTCACTCAAACAAAACAGAAAACTTACTTGCAAGTAAATTAAGTGCTTCATTGAATGAAACTTAATAATCTTTAAGGACAGCAAAATCCAGACACTAAACAATGTAGCACCCATAATATCCAGTATCCAAAGGTCTGTTTTCATTCCAATCCCAAAGAAAGGCAATGCCAAAGAATGCTCAAACTACCGCACAATTGCACTCATCTCAAGTGCTAGCAAAGTAATGCTCAGAATTCTCCAAGCCAGATTTCAGCAATACATGAACTGTGAACTTCCACATGTTCAAGCTGGTTTTAGAAAAGGCAGAGGAACCAGAGATCAAATCGCCAACATCTGCTGGATCATCAAAAAAGCAAGAGAGTTCCAGAAAAACATCTATTTCTGCTTTATTGACTATGCCAAAGCCTTTGACAGTGTGGCTCACAATAAACTGTGGAAAATTCTGAAGGAGATGGGAATACCAGACCACCTGACCAGCCTCTTGATAAATCTGTATGCAGTTAGAACTGGACATGGAACAACAGACTGGTTCCAAATAGGAAAAGGAATATGTCAAGGCTGTATATTGTCACCCTACTTATTTAACTTACATGCAGAGTACATCATGAGAAACGCCAGGCTGGATGAAGCACAAGCTGGAATCAAGATTGCTGGGAGAAATATCAATAACCTCAGATATGAAGGTGACACCACCCTTATGGCAGAAAGTGAAGAAGAACTAAAGAGGCTCTTGATGAAAGTGAAAGAAGAGAGTGAAAAAGTTGGCTTACAGCTCAACATTCAGAAAACTAAGATCATGGCATCCAGTCCCATCACTTCATGGCAAATAGATGGGGAAACAGTGGAAACAGTGACAGACTTTATTTTATTGGACTCCAAAATCACTGCAGATGGTGATTGCAGCCATGAAATTAAAAGATGCTTGCTCCTTGGAAGAAAAGCTATGAGCAACCTAGACAGCATATTAAAAAGCACGGACATTACTTTGCCAATAAAGGTCCATCTAGTCAAAGTTATGGTTTTTTCAATGGTAATGTATGGATGTGAGAGCTGGACTATAAAGAAAGCTGAGCACCGAAGAATTGATGCTTTTGACCTATGGTGTTGGAGAAGACTGTTGAGAGTCCCTTGGACTGCAAAGAGATCCAACCAGTCCATCATAAAGGAGATCAGTTCTGAGCATTCATTTGAAGGACTGATGTTGAAGCTGAAACTCCAATACTTTGGCCACCTGATGCAAAGAACTGACTCATTTGAAAAGGCCCTGGTGCTGGGAAAGATTGAAGACAGGAGGAAAAGGGGACAACAGAGGATGAGATGGTTGGATGGCATCACTGACTCAATGGACATCAGTTTGGGTAAACTCCAGGAGCTGGTGATGCATAGGTAAGTCTGATGTGCTGCAGTCCATGGGGTCTCAAAGAGTCGGACACGACTGAACTGAACTGAACTATATGAAGAAGCAGGAAAATGTGAGTCATAAACAGGAGAAAAATTAGCCAATGGACCCAGAAATGACAATAATAATGAATTTATCAGAGGACTTAAAACAGCTGTTAAAAATGTAGCCAGGAATTTAAAGGAAAACACAAGAAATGAAAACTATAAAAATAACCAAATATAAGTTTTAGGGCAGAAAAATACAGTATCCAAAATGAAAACTTCACTGGATGGCCTTAAAAACAGCTTAGTTATACAGAAAAAAAGATCTGTGAATGAGAAAATAGTACAAAAAGAATTATCTATACCAGAGCACAAAGAGAATAAAAGTTGAAAAGAAAATGAAAAGAGACTTAGTGACCTACAGGACAATACCAAGTTACCTAGCATGTATTATCAGAGACCCAGAAAGAGAGGAGAGGTGATTTTAAAATATTTGAAGAAATAACAGCCAAACTTTTCTAAATTTAATGAAAAATAGAAATCCACAGTATCAAGAAATCAAACCAACCCTAAAGAGGATAAGCACAAAGAATCCTCATCAATGCACATTACACAAAACTGCTGAAAAATAAATAATTAAAAGAAAATATTAGAAACAACCACAGAAAAAGCCACATTGTATACAGAGAAAAAGATTAGAATTACTACTATGAATCAGAGAGACTGTAAGCCACAATTTTTTTAAATTTACTTATTTTTAATTGGAGGGTAATTGTTTTACAATGTTGTGTTTGTATCTACCATACATCAACATGAATCAGCCATAGGTATACATATGTCCCCTCCCTCTTTAATCTCCCTCCCACCTACCCCATCATCCCACCCCTGTAGTTTGTCACAGAGCCCCAGGTTGAGCTTCCTGTGTTATAAACCAAATTCCTACTGTCTGTCTATTTTACATATGGTAATGTATATGTTTCAATGCTATGCTCTCAATTCACCCCATTCTCTCCTTGCTCAACTGTGTCCACAAGTCTGTCCTCTATTGCCTATATC